TCGTGAAATCTGATGATCTTTTAGCAAAAAATATTCAAAATTCTCAAATCACTAAAACAAAAAACACCAGTGTCTAGAGTATGACTCTATGGTTTCTTTTCTAAAATATTCAGCCTCGTTTAGTTAATATTAATTCCAACACACACACACCATCTCCTTGTTTCCCAACCCTCTTTGTCTATAATAAAAATAACCATGGAGTTTGGATTTGAGACACTAACTGAACCGCCAACCTGATTGCTGTAAAAAATATTTGGTTTCGTTTTGTTAAATACAATTCATACACCTCTTTCCAATTCTGTTATCCCTTCAGTAACTGTTAGGTTTTGATTTTAGACCGTAACCTACAATCTGAGAGTTGCCTAAATAATTTGGTCGAAGGTTTGAACAGACGTCTTCCGAATACACTTCCTCTTTTACAATGACAAATCACTTTGCGAATTTTCCCAAAAAACTTTTAAAGTCCATAAACGTTACAATATCATCCACCTCAAGTTGTTTTTTTTTTTTGCAGAAAATAACATAAAAGTTACAAAAAGTATAAAAGTAGTGATTTAAAAGCACTTGGTGAAATCGAGTAAATAGCTAATCATTGGATTTAAATAACAAAACACTTTCTGATCTTGAAAAGTCGCGATCAGAACGCGACACCATGGTTACATTGAAAACGTCGGTACCTTGATGGATGACGTCGATCAGCCTATTGTTAATGAATAGGGGGGTCAAGTGTTTATATGATATTATGAAAGACAATAATCGACCCGTCCTCGCAGATGATTGCGATATATATCTGAATTTTGATGTAACTAATTGAAGTATTTATGAACATCATTGAGTGACGACATCGATTGATTTCAGTCAACTTAAGAAGAAATTTAGCTCACTTCAAACAGAACCTATTGTCCCTGTCGAGAGAATCGACTGTCTATCTGTAAATAATAGTCGCTGAATAAAGGTGTGTTGCTTTCCATACAGTTTGAATAAAAGATCGGGATTTAATGAAATAATTGGCGAAATTATGGCCATGATGACTGTCTATCGACAGGTAATAGAGAACTTATTTTTACTCGGAATAAAAACAAGCTTCTAGAAGCTAACAGAATATATTGAACAAATAGCATTTCTGTTTACCTGTATATATACTGAGTCTTTCTACAACATGGAAACATGAGTAAATTCGTAATAGCTTTAATCCGTACCTTTATCTGTGAACTTTTGAGTTCATGCTCCTCACAATGGTTACGTTAATTTAAAGGAAATTTTTCAATAATTTTTGGAGGGTACTTTTGATATAAATACCTGTGGTCTATACATCAATTATAGAGCAATATAGAAATATCACTGTTAAAATAGTGCTCAATACATCAATTATAGAGCAATATAGAAATATCACTGTTAAAATAGTGCTCAATACATCAATTACAGAGCGATATAGAGATACCACTGTTAAAATAGTGCTCAATACATCAATTATAGAGTGATATAGAAATATCACTGTTAAAATAGTGCTCAATACATCAATTGTAGAGCGATATAGAAATACCACTGTTTAAAATAGTGCTCAATACATCAATTGTAGAGCGATATAGAAATACCACTGTTTAAAATAGTGCTCAATACATCAATTGTAGAGCGATATAGAAATATTACTGTTAAAATAGTGCTCAATACATCAATTATAGAGTGATATAGGAATACCACTGTTAAAATAGTGCTCAATACATCAATTGTAGAGCGATATAGAAATATTACTGTTAAAATAGTGCTCAATACATCAATTATAGAGTGATATAGGAATACCACTGTTAAAATAGTACTCAATACATCAATTATAGAGTGATATAGAGAAATGGGAATCTGAAATATTAAAGATATCTATTGTACACATTGATTAAATATTCTTCAGAATAAGCAACTAATGTAAACTTCAATATGAATTTGTCTTTGATGTTTGTATCTTCACAAGACAGAGTAGCTTATCTTGATATAATCTTTCCTACATTTTTAATAATTCTTATAGTCTTGTAAGATGTATGGAATTTCAAAATTGAGTCAATCATTAGCAAAAATGACAACGAGACATATGAATGCAACACTTAGACTAAATAGAGTGCGAACGACCTGATCTCCTTCGCCTACAATGTAATCACTGTAGGGGGTACCAAATATATTGGCTTTCCTCTGAAGCTAAACGTTCATTGTACAAGACTTCACCCCAGACCGGCCTTAATATTTTACACATTTGACTTGTATTTCACAACATTATCAAAATTCCTAAAGAAAACAATGGTTTGGTTCGAAATTCCTGCTAGATTCCTGTGACTACATGCATTTTCAGGAAGTCGATTTGTTCTGCGAGATTGAATTCTGTCTGTTGTGAAGAAGGGTAATTATAAGAATGATAGATTGACAACTGTCAGTCATTCTAAATTATATCAAAACATAGCAATATATTTATACAATGCAATCATTGTGGATATATTGGCCTTGATCTTCTCTGGTTGGCTACAATATGCGATTGAGATTGTGAAACTAAATTAGTTGGTTATATGGACTTGCCAAGCGTAAAATCAAAATTTGAAAATTTAGAGAATATCTTTATAATGCAGTCTATGTGATACATCATCCACGAATTACCAATGGACTGGAATTCCGAACGCGTGACTGTAATTCAGAAAAACTAAATAAGTTGTCTATAATGACTTGTCAAGCTCATACTCAGTTGAAAACCCTATTATTCATAATGCAGTGTATTTCTCTATTAACGATGATGAGCTGCGCTGCAATTCCTTTCCTAACTTGCGATTGTGACTGAGACAATTACACTGTTGATCACCGTATCACGAATACGGGTTTTGACATGGTCTTATAAACAAGTCTGACGAATAGGGGTGTGGATTGGACACGATGCACGGTTGATCAACCAACTTGCAGAGTGACTTCGAGTGATTTACAGAAGCTGTTATTACGAACTTAGACTCATATGAAGCATATTTATAAAACCATTTATCTAATAATTGTTTAATAAGATTCGATTTTTTGGATGAAAAGTTAGAAGTTATGTATAGACTCTGCCTTGTTCAAATAAAAGGTTTCTTAAAACGTACTACTTATTTATTATTCATTTATCATAATATTTGTTCATTGATTTCTCGGCTATTTCTTGTCACACCTAATACAGAAATATAAAATTTACATGGTAGATTCTCCTCCGAAAAGGATCCTAAATAGACCTGTCGTCGAGTGGCGTCGGGCGTTTCAGAAGGTTGGGTCTATATCATATTCAACCCGCCATACCGGGGCAAAAATTAAAAGTCTCCACAGCCAGCGGATTATTTATACATGTATTTAACATTACTGAATTAAGATCATTTATTAAAAACTTGTATTTAATATTATTGAATAAAGATCATCTATTAAAAACTTGTATTGAACATTATTGAATAAAGATCATTTATTAAAAACTTGTATTGAATATTATTGAATAAAGATCATCTATTAAAAACTTGTATTTAATATTATTGAATAAAGATCATTTATTAAAAACTTGTATTTAATATTATTGAATAAAGATCATTTATTAAAAACTTGTATTTAATATTATTGAATAAAGATCATTTATTAAAAACTTGTATTTAATATTATTGAATAAAGATCATTTATTAAAAACTTGTATTTAATATTATTGAATAAAGATCATTTATTAAAAACTTGTATTGAATATTATTGAATAAAGATCATTTATTAAAAACTTGTATTGAACATTATTGAATAAAGATCATTTATTAAAAACTTGTATTGAACATTATTGAATAAAGATCATTTATTAAAAACTTGTATTGAATATTATTGAATAAAGATCATTTATTAAAAACTTGTATTGAACATTATTGAATAAAGATCATTTATTAAAAACTTGTATTTAATATTATTGAATAAAGATCATCTATTAAAAACTTGTATTGAATATTATTGAATAAAGATCATTTATTAAAAACTTGTATTTAACATTATTTAATAAAGATCATTTATTAAAAACTTGTATTGAATATTATTGAATTAAGATCATTTATTAAAAACTTGTATTGAACATTATTGAATAAAGATCATTTATTAAAAACTTGTATTGAATATTATTGAATAAAGATCATTTATTAAAAACTTGTATTTAACATTATTTAATAAAGATCATATCAATGGTTTATTGATTTTTGTTTAATGATTTTCTGTCTTCATTTACTTTTCTTTAACAGGAGTTTCAATCAATACGGTTCAATTTAGGAGCGTTTTTATGGACACACATAAGCTGAGTTATGTTTATCAATGTATTTGATCCTACAGGATTCTTCAATATAAAAACACACCATATGCATCCATTAAACAGAGATTCCTTATTCCAAAACCTATTAAATCCATATATAAGAATAGCTTGAAATATAAAGGCCCGTGTTTATGGAACCCTGTACCTTGATCGATTAAAGAAAATCAATGATTTGACAAAATTTAAAAAAAAACCCTTTTTTTTTCTTGAAAAAATAGAACAACATAATCAGTTGAATGAAACTGTTAATAGTTTTACTGATTTTGTGATTGTTGTTTTGTTGTTTTTAGTTTCTTTGCATTATATGTTGTGTTCCTTTGAAGGGCAAAATTGTAAAAAGGCCAGGCCTAATTTTCACCCAAATAAAGATCTTATTACTATTATTACTATTATTACAGGGTCGTGGACGTCCGCCCAAGGTTTTAGACAGCAATACTTCTAGATATTATTATGTAGACATTAATACAATGGTAAATTCCATGCCGGTTTAATATATAATTAAAATTACAACAAACTTTCGTTCCGTTTTTTTTTTAGCTTTAATTCTTGATTCTTGTTGAAGTGGCAATAGCGAGAAATAAAAACGCCTCACTAACCAATAAATCTTGATTGATTTCATAGTTTGGAGTACTTTCAAAGGGAGAAAACTACATTTTCAAGAAACCAAACCACAAAGATATTACAGTGCATTATATCCGATAATCCTGTAACAAAACAAAAACACAAGCAAATATATTTAACCAATTTGTAATAAGAAGTTATAAATTTTTCGCTATAAGTTTTTTTTTCTATATTCAGACTATCCCATCGTATCGAAATTTCTAAACAAATTCCCACCAAGGACAGGTTTTTTTCAAATGTTTTGAACTATTTGTTGCCATATTGTATAATATCGATCTGATTGGATCGGAAGAAAATACCCACCCACGAACATTTCTTTTTTAACTTCAATTCCAGAGTTTTGCTGTTATATTGCACAATATCGATCTGATAAGACTACCCCATCTTATCGATTAAATATCGGGCCTATTACGAGATAATGACATAACTAATCGGTGATCAATACCCAACATTAATATCCAGATTAATTAACTATTATGTTCACAAACATTCAAAATAAACATTAAACAAATCTCTCTCCAGGTGGGGTCGCTTCAGTTTGATGAGTCATAGGGATCTCTCATTGTACTCTTAATATTACATCATTTTGTTATGGATAATAAAGAGTTCCACGAGTCCGAAGTGCGCTGATTTTAATACATCATTTCAAGATAACATGACGACTCGACATTTCTCGAGACTCTGTCATATTTATTCAAGACATTTATTGAAATAGATAGTGAAGTTCCTAGTTTCAGATGTTTTTGAAGCAATTTTGCTATTTTCGTACATTTCTAGTACTTCTGAAAACTATTTACATATAGACTCAAATCAACTATCGAATATGACCAACCTGTCCTTTTCATAAAGTGTTTCTACTTTGACTGAAGAGTTTATAGCTCCTAGGATGAATGCTGACACCGGAGACAATCTTATCTGATAAAAAAAGCCAATACAACTTTTCATTATGACATACTTCGTCATAGTAAGGTTCATACACTGCTACCTATATTTCGTCAATATGTTGTTTGGATTTCGGCTTTCGTTTTATGGTTCGGATCGTTAATACTTGGTTTATTTATTCAAAACTATCAAAACACTGATGACGAGGAAGGCTGAGATACTGACGACAATGATGATGTTACAATATATTTAATTGCAAGTATGGTACATGTCTCAATGCCAGTGCACTTTTATAACGTAAATGTTAAATATCACCAAACACGCAACATCTCAAGTTTAAATCATAGTCAATTGTTGATGTGAAGGGATTCTATTTGTATTCTATGATACGATAAATAAACGTTTTCAATAATCAATTTAAAGTATAAGTATAAAAAAATTACACATCAATATTTTCCATTGAGTGATAAATGGGCAAGCTTGTCTTTTCATAATACCAAATCTAAATTTGAAAGGTTACCGGAAATGTGCAAAGCTTCAATTGAGTGACGTCAGGATGGAAAAAAATATCATCCAATCAATAATCGATATTTTGTCGACGTTTTTTTCAGATTCTATTTTCATCCAATTTCACCCTATTTCCTTATTTCCATTACTTCCATCAATTTACTAATTAATATCATAAATAGACTAGAGTTATCTCTCTTGGGCTGTCGGTATTTCATGCTCTAAATATCTAGCATCATGGAAATTTTTGAAAACATAAACTTATCACTATGACAACATATGCTTATCAAATATAGGCCTAGATATACTTCAATTACTATTAATTAATTTGTCAATGTAAATAGAAACTTTTACTAACTAGACAAAGATAAATTAAACTATGAGTGTCCTCTCCTTCAATAAAACAGTCGGATGTAGCTGACAAGATAATTAAAAATAATAATAGTGATATAACGCAGTATGTTAATTGAAATGATACATTGGTTAGTCTACGTGACTGAGCGGCACCTACGTACCTGTTGTCCTGGTGTTCGCTAAGAGTTAGACGTCAAGTCGTTTGAGCTGGCACACTTGTGTCGTATCATTCTCCTCTTAACTCTACATAAAAAGTCAAAATAAAAATGCGTTATGCGATTTTCAGACAACTGACCCATTTTCAGCCTGAAGTCGGACAAGTAGAACTACACTTCGAGACAAGTTCGGAGCGTTAGAAATGTATGAATGTTTATTACAAACATAAAACGTGTATGTCGACTAAAAGGTCGATTTCAGAACAGAAAAAAGTGTCACTTTGGTGAAAAAAGTCATTGATATTTGCATTAATTTTGTGTTTTATTTTTTCGAATATAGGAATACAATTTTCATTATATTAAATTTTTTGCTAAATCGTCTATTTAGTCTCGTTCTGTTCCATACGTCAAATATAAAGATAAACGCCCACCACGGCATGCGGATGGTAAAAACGAAACATCCATTTTAAGTTTCATCAAAATCTGTTAAAAACTAAGAGAGTAATAGCATATTCAAGATTTTGGGACAAGGGCAATAACTCTGCTTCTAACGGTCAAAATAGCTCAAATTCGAACTTAATCTTCGTGTTATGAATATGTATACACATACCCAATTTCATTTGAAATCTAGTTTTTAGAGCGTTTACAAGCAAATGTTGACGGACCGACGGACAGGGGTCATATAGAGAGATGTGGGCGTATAAAAATGATAAAGCAATAAACACACACGTTATTTCATGACTTGTAAACATTATCAACAAATTTAATGTTATACCAAGAGGAAATAATAATAAAAGATTGTCACTCGCGTTATTTGAATTAATGTTGAATTAATCACGTAATAGAACTAAGAGTTCCATTTATGTCACCGCGTGCTCTGACACCGAAACCATGAAATTCTTTCCGGTTTTGTGTTGTTTTGTAAACATGATAAGGATAGTGTGAAAGTGTTCACGTCTCTTGGTAATTGGCTACTTTAGAAACTCTTCATTATATGCTTGTATACATTTTATCAAGATTGGATCTTCAGTCTGGATATTTACAGATACATTGAAGCTAATGCAAATTTGTTGACAATTCTATTAAATTCGAAATTACTTTGTTTGATACAGATTATCATTTTCATTAAAATGTAAATCTGGATGATCCGATGTCTATACTGTTTTCATAATGTACAAAAATCAAAATTGATGGAATAAAGACATAAGCCCTTTATTCAAAGCTATTTCCAACAAACAGCCACACTGCTTCTGAGATTCTTTAATGTATTTGGATGTTACAAAAACGGAGGGTGATATTAATCATTGATTGATGCGTTTGTATCTTTCTTTGCACCTTTCTTGTACATATAGAGTGCGTACCGACACGACACGGGCGCTTGGTAGAATAAATTTTGATGGTGAATGCATGGTTTTCTTCTTTGCATGTTACACTGTCAATACCTGACAACCTGCACATAGTAGAATATTAATTTCTCTGCATGTGAGACGACAATCATTCAGTTCCAAATGTTTTAAATTAACAAAAGAATAAGAATTTTACCTTGTCATGTCTTCCTTGTTGAGGAACATAGTTGATATCAAAGTATTTACTTTTATACAGTCGAAACGTTCTTTCATGTTTTCTGCTGAACTCATCTTGTTTCTCGTGACTTTCGCTGGATTCCGTGAATTTTGTTTGATGAGCATCTTCAGTAGTATCACCAGTTTCGGGCGTTTCACCTTTTTGGTTCGAGTCGTTACACAAAGGATCCCATTCTAGAGCATTGTCTTTAAATTTGTCTATTTCTTTGTTTGATGCATCAGCACCATTTGTCATTTGTGGTACTTTGTCATTTGTGACCTTTTCATTATAATCAGATAGACGTTGCGTTACATCCTTATTAATGTTGTGCAAATGTGTTCCACCCGTCTCGGTGGGAGCAGACTTTTCATTATTAACAATATTAGAATTTCCATGAAGCGGGGTGTCATCAGAGTCAATTTCATTACTCTGAATTTGTTTCTGTTCTGCGGAAAATCCAGAATCATTTGAGATTTGGTCTTTTGAAAGCGAATCGGTTGGCGCAGAAGCGGTGTATCTTGTAGTCCTATCCAGATGATTTTCCGTTTCTGTTGGTGTTTCAACAGGGACGGGGAATTCCGTTCCGTTCCCTGAAATGTTTCCAGAAACACCGTTTTGTTTTCTTGATTGTCCGTCATCACCCACAGAACCCTTTATCTTGTCCCAGCGTAGAATTCCTGGTTTCTTCTCCATTATCCTATCACAGACCTGGAACACATTTTCAGAACTATTGCAAGACTCCTCTTATTAGCAGTGTAAATGGTCTAAATTAGAATCTCAACGACAATGGCACACTTCATACCCTCTGACTGATATTTAAGTATATATAAGGTATGTCCTCATATTGTTAGTACTGCTCCATCATATCGTAGACCTTTTTTAAAATTTTCAGAAGACATTGCTCTAAACTAATAACTGGTCTAAATTAGAATCCCAACTGATAAGTCAACGTCTAATGTATGAATATATATAAAGCATGTCCACTTATAAAACCGTTTATTGACCGCTTTGAAAAAACCATTCTGACCAATTAAAGTTATCATTAGTAGTACAGTACTGTACTAGTAAATAGTTACTAGAAGCTATCTTACTAGTTTAGATTGGTATATTTTGTATACATAAGAATCACATATATATTAGGGAGGGTTCTTTAAACGTCGTATTTTCTCATTTGGAACGACGAGAACATTTCCACGAGTGAATATTCCAAAAAATACACTTAAGAATGATTTCTTTTGTTTTGGTACAGATCAGTGCTAATATGCATGCCGTTACCTAGTATGACTCTACTCGTCTCCAAGATAGATATAACAGGTTTTTGTTCGACGATTTTAAATCTAGAATCCATAAATCCAGGAAGCCTCTTATATCTTGTTTTTAAATCCGAGTAGAAGAGAAAATCTCCATAACCTTTCAAGAAGTTACAGCTCTTGTGAGCCACTACCATGGAGTCAAGTCATAACAAAAACTAAACATAACATATATATCTACGTATGCGTATCCCACTCAATACAAAATAATAAGCTGTTACATTTAAACAACTCCCTGGTGTATATTTGCAGCACGATCAACAATACAATGATCAAATGTTCCAGATTAATCCACGGGTCGTATAGAAAAGATCTGAATTCTAAATATACACATGGATGCAGAAACTTCAGGTATTATAATTTTAATTCCACGATAGCGGACGTTTAAAACAAAGTTTCAAGTGAAGCTTAAGAAACACCAGGTATCACTCGTTCACTTAAACCTGGTACACACTTCTTTAACCTTTCACAGAAGAATTATCAAGGACCTACATGGTATAATTCTTGAATATTAACATTGGTAATTTTCACTTGAAAGTCATAGACAAAATATGTCTTTAGAAACGAAAACGCACATTTCAAAGGGTCACAGAAGTAAGATACTGGACATACGCCAATGTTACAATGTTATAAAATTACAAAATAACTGTCACTAGAACTCCGATGTTACTTGAAACGAATTGTTGCTTTACAAACAATGAGCGCACTTCAAAACCTTCCGAGGGAAACTTCCTGTACCTACACTAATGTTACAATGTTTTTACAGATAACTTCTGTCACTGGAACTTAGGGATGTGATGTTACTTGAAACAAAATATAACTTAACAAAAGAAAGCGCACATTTTAAAACTTCACGGAGGCAATATTATAATGTTATAATATTACAAAATGATTACAGGAACAAAAGAATGTATATACAGCTGCTGTGTTATCTGTGTTCACCTACAGCTTGTTCTGATTGGTCAATTATCAATATAGAAATATCCACTATATCTAGAAAAGAGTTAATAGTAATTGATATTGACTCTTGGCTTATTATCAATCAGTTGTTAGGAAATGATACTCAATACATTATCAGTTATTGATGTTTTAACATAATAACAAACTACGTCTCCCTCAGGGCGGACACGCCTCGTCTGTACTGATAACACACATAGGACTCGTCAGATCTGCACTGAGGATACTTAGAAGACTAACAATACTAAGAGGACTAATAATACTTAAAGTACATGATCCAATTAATATAATGAAGGTGTTATACGAATTGTAAATAATGACTGAACTATGTCCTACTGTTCTACTGCTACAAAATTACATCGGACTGTAACTTTTTTGTTATTCTTAATTCGGACACTTGAACAATGCAACAACGTGGTCTTTTATTCTATTCTACTATTACTATCCATGGGACATCTCAATTACTCCGTAGTAAATGGTCATTCTAGTCGTCTCGAACTGGTACAGAAAATCATGGAAAGATCAATTTAAGAGATATGGACATGCTAGCATCCTGAACCTAGCTTACTGTAGCCGTGATAGTTCCAGTCCCTCAGGTAAACATTGAGTTTGACCTGTTATAAACCGAACTTTATTGAACTGTATTGAAAATCAAATCATGCTCTAAATAGAAGGTCAACAAACGAATTACAGATTGTAGATTGGAATTTGAAGTAAGCATGATAAAAAAAGAATAGAGATTACATTTTATTGGTATATATGTATGGTCAAACAATAGTTGATGTCACATGAAAGACATGTTATGATGGGCCATTTAGTAATATCTGCCGAAGTGATTAATGCAAACATCTCTATAGACATGACCGTACTCTACATTTTACAATGGCTTGAGTTACGAAATTAGATGGACAAAGAGACATTTGTAGAAGCTGCATGGCAACCTGTTAGAAAAAACATGATAGCACTACTATACAACTTTACTCTCAATTATGATTAACGGAATTATCTTGCTGGTACGGATTTTCATTTCCAAATATAACAGAAATATGAATGCCCTTAAACAACGTTTAATCGAGACTTCGTCGATTATGTGGGTGAATGAACTCTTAGATCGTCCTCTGGCACCTATGAGTCAACATTGAATAGGGCATATAATAATTAGCAGAGATAACAATCATTCTATTCATAGTTCAATTCAATTAATATAAACAGGTCTGCTGTATTGATGCATGACATGCTCGTCTTTCTGGAACACCTAATTTCACTGTGCAGAAACGTTTACTGCATCAGATAACAAAGATATCTATGCACTCACTAATACACAAATAGTTAGAAATATAATATAATTTATTTTATATAAATTGATGAACGGGTGATTTTGTGAACTCAGATAACCGATTGATTCCATCGACTGTATGCAATATATTATAGATATTGACTGGAGTCAATTATAAGTGAATTGGTACAAGATCTAGTTCTCTTTTAATCTTGATTAATTTGATGAACGGTTTGATCGACATTTAGTGATCGAATAAGTAAACCAAGTACTAACGATCCGAACCAGACCCGAAATCCAACAAAAAAACATTTTGGCGAAACATACTAGGTAGCAGTAGTCGATACGAATAGAATATGGATTACAAAAA